TACTTTATTTTTATTTTATTTTTACAAATTATCTTGTAAATTAAACTAAAACTAGGTTAGTATTTATTTTTCTTTTTTACACCTATTAAAATATATTTATTTATATATAAAAAAGGGGCCAAAAATATTTTATAATGTCATAAATATTTTCAAGATAAAAATACTAAAAAATACTTTTCTTAAACTTATTTTATTTTGATTAATCAATAGAACTAGGGTTTTATTTAAAATCTTTTCTTAAATAAATTCAAGTTTAATTAATTATTTTCTTTAATTAATTAGGTTAAAACAATTTCCCTTTTTCTTATAAAAATCCAAAAATATCCATTTTCTTAACAATTATATTTCTTGTATATTTATTTCATCTTGTACGTTATATTCATTTAAATCTTTGCACATCAATACCTATTCAATATGGTTGTAATATACTAACTAGGTTTATATTTTTGCAATCCCCATTCAATGTGTACACCCCCTCTCCACAAATGTTGTAATAGCAAAGTAACTTTAAATTCTGCAATTTATCGCTTTTATATATAACATGCTAGTAATTAGGGTTTGTATGGAAAGACTAAAACTAATACTTAGAAAACCCTAATTCAAGACAAAAACAAACATGAAAACAATACATTTGCACACAAGCACCCCTGGGATTATTCCACTTGGTTGCCTTATACAAAATGGCCATATTACGCATGTAAGGTATCTTAGCAAAAAAAAGAAAATACTAGATCATAGTCCCTCACTGACGCTATCTAAATTGCCTTTCAAATGATCTTAGTCCCTAAAAAGAATGCTAAGATACCTTGCAACATTGCTAATCATGATTATACGATGACCCGCTCCCGTCCCGTTTACATCCAAAGATAGGATTACTTACCAAATCAATGGTAAGATAATAATGTCAAAGGAAAAGGAAAATGAACAAGAAAGACTTTTGAGTAGGTAGAATGCTCTTAATTACTTGCTCAATTTCAAAACAAAACATCCTTGCTATTTTCAAAACAAACACCTACACTTTCAAAACATCTTACAAAACTTGAAAATATTTTCAAAAAGATAAAACATCTTTGTATACATTCTTACAAACAAGAATCATTACAAAGATTTCCTAAACAATGGCCTCTTTACAAAATACTTTCAAAAACCACACCAAGCACAATTTCAAACAAAAGAAAGTGATCTAGCAAGTAACTAAGAGCCCATGGAAAACCATGGATGAAAAGGATGCTAATACATTCCATTTTCATAATCTACCCCTCGAACTCAAGAAATAATCTCAAAGGTCTTTCCTGTGCTTTTTCACCTTTCTTTTTTGGATAAAAGAAAAGTCGGTGGCGACTCTTGCTAACCGCAACATTTGCAATCAAACGCAAAACCTTCAAGTCAGTTCTCCCACCGTATCATATATATGCTCTTGCAACACTAATACCCACTGATTTTTTTCCCTAATATCTTGCATAATATCTCTTATCCTAATTGTATCAGATGTTTGCATCCTCTTTATCACATGCTTGGCCACCCACTTTTAGCTTGCAGACTTGTTGTTCAAAGCCTTATCACACGCGTGAGTATCTATAAGTGTTTTTATAACAAAGGTTTGCTGGTGGCCTACCTTAGAGTATAAGACTAAAAACCCACATTTAACCTTACACACTACCCTTACCCTATGGGCCTCATCACTATAGTAATCATCTTCATCAATACTCTTACGGGGCTTACACAAAATGCCACTAAGACTTGCATCTTTATAGATAGGAAATGTCACATCTATTCCTTCTAAGCCATCAACAAGAGTAGTAGCTTTATCATCTTCACTGTCATCTAACCCTTCAATAATATTCTCTTCTAATACATCCATTTCCTTTTCCTCATTAACATAATTAGGTTCCTTATCCCCACGGTCTATGTTTCCCAGAGAATGTTCCACAAATAAATCCCCATTAATATTCATTGTACTAAATTACAAAGCAAAATCAACAACATCACCATCTTTTCTTATCAAAATAAATCATTCTTGAATTTCTAAGACTTTTGCCCATACCCTAAAACTATCATCCTTATACCTAACCTACTTACCAACTTCCCAATGATATCCATTGTCTAATTCGCAGCATGTGTCCCAGTTACAGTCGAATCAATCCCCTTTTGTAAATAATTTTATTCGGATTAACCCTAATGAATTCACCCACATGGTGAAAGGTAATACTAAAATGTTCTAAATCCTGTGAATAAAGCATACCCACATATCGAAAATGCAGATTTCACACAAAATAAAACCCAATTACACGAATATTAACGATTATCATTGAAGAAGTTCATAAATCAACTTACCTGAGACATTAGTAGCTTCAATGACAGGGATTATGTCTTTGTTTTCGTCTTCTTCTTCGATTATGACCGCGTGCGACAATGCGTCTTCGTCTTCGTATTGTATTATTGCAACCGTTCGTCTTCGTCTTCGCGGATTTTTGAACTTCAATGAACCCTAATTCTTGCAAGGGGGTATTTGAGAAGAATATATGTTATATGTCAACTAAGTTGTTTCAAATAATAAACCAAAATGACATGTGTGTAAATAAATTAACAACGTGGCCAGTATTGAAGAATATTCCATGACACCTAGTCAATGAGGGGTTCTATGAGGGAATCTACATAACATAAGGGGGTTCTAAATAAAAACTTTACCATGGGATAAAAACAAAACTCGCTAACATTACAGGGGAATTTGTATATTTAACCCTTTTTTAAAATAAGAAAATATACGTAGTTGGAGTAATGATTGACTTGTTAGACCATTTTGTCTAAAATAGGATAAAAACACTTTATTGTGTTTGAATTCTCTTATCTCTTTGTGTAGTATTTTGTTATTTGTCATTAGTTTATTATTTGATATAATATAAAAAATATAGTAGTATATACACATCGTAAAAAATTATTGCCTACTATGTTATATTTTCAATAAGTTTGAAGTGACTTATACTTAAAATCCATGTAAGAACTACTCTAAGATTAAAAATATTTATTTCAAGTGTTACTTTTATTAATATAATTTCAAGAAAACAAAATATATTTTATTGTATTTGAATTTTCACATCTCTTTATATTTGAAATATGAGAGAATATTTTTAATTTAAGGAAATATACATAGTCAGATTGATGATTGATTTATTAGATTAATTTGTTTAAAAGGATATATTATTCATTCTTTACAAGGGTTCGAACCTGAGACCTCTAATTTGTAGAAGTATAAGATGAAAATGTGTTTTGGGATGTGCCACGTAGGACTATAAGATAATGTGAGAAATTTAGCATTATATTTAATGACGTGTTAAAGTTATAATTAATGATATATTATTATAATATTTAACATATTGAACTTAATATATTATATAGATAGATATAAATAGATATAGATATAGATGTGATTTTGATAATACGTACTATAACCAGGGGTGTTCAAAACCAAACTGACCCAATAGACAACCGCAAAACTGAACCGAACCAAACCGAAATCGTAAAAAACTGCATTTGATTCAGATGTGTTTGAGTCATTTTCTAACAGAACCGCGTGGTTTAGTTCGGTTTACGGTTTGTATTTTGCAAACCGAACCAAACCAAACAAAACCGCATTATGTTATAAAATCTTACTAACCAATATATATTTCTTTAATTCCTCAGAGAAATCAACATGTATTATGTGTATATTTTATCATACTTTGTATGATATTTATTTTAATTTATAAATCATAAAAAATAAAATATTATTCATTTATAAATACTATTTTCACAAAATATATTTTATCGTATTCTTTGTAAAATATTTATTTAAGAATGTAATCTTGTCTATATCATTCTTTATATTTAGATAAAATTATAATACGCAATTTTATGTATCAAATTATAAGTATGACTCCTTTCTTGGAATCATGCATATTAAAGCGTCTTGGGATCATGCATATATAAGTATGAATCCTTTTTTATGGTAATGTATGAAAAATTAAATACAAAATTATATTTTCCTCGATATGTATATATATGGCTTAATTTATTTTTTTTATAAAAAATCGAACCAACCGAACCGATCCAAACTGCATTAGTTTGGTTTGGTTTGATTCAGATTTATTTTTAAAATCCAACCGAACTAAACCGAACCACATATTTTTTTCTCTTGCGGTTCGAGTGATTTTTTGCTTCAAAACCGCCCAAATCGCACCGCGAACACCCCTAACTATAACACGATGAAAATACAGTTTGATTAAGAATTGTTTCGCTTATAATTCAAATATAGATTTTCTTAAATAATAACCCCTTGTTAGTCTAGTGGTGAAAATTTGTGATATATGAGTATACTACTCACAAGATTTCGAATTCAAAACTCGTTTATACTAATAATTCATGTGTTACACTGAACCATACAATTTAAAGAAGAAAAAAAATGAAATTCATTGCTCATTTGATTCATAATATCTACCAATACGAAAATACATTAGAATTTAATCCTTCGTTAACCCACAATAACCAATTAAACTATTCTAGATACAATAGTTTATTCTTTGTACAAATTTAAGGAGATTAAATTATTCCAAATAAATAAAACCTTTTGTAGAATAAAGGCCTCACAAATCATTTGGCAGGATAGCATATTAAAGATAAACTCCAAATATTGATTATTCAATTTCAAGCTTTCTTGAATTCTTCAAGAACCTGCCAAATATATAGGAAAAGAAACTTTATTAGTAGTAGAAAGTATTATGCATACAAAGAACGTGTTAAAATATAGTAAGCTATATACATATTTAATAATAAACTCGTTTCTATTTTGAACAAATTAAAAATATATGGCAAATTTTTTTGCTTGTCTTTTTATTCTCTTTGGTTCAACTAGAAGGGCGGGTCCATTAATATTCAGCAATGGACAAGATAGGATATGATATGATAAGAAAATGGACAAGTCATTGTTAAAGTTCATGGACTAAGTTATCAAGCATACCTTAGGATCAGTTGTTGGTGTTAGTTTTGTAGCGAGGAAAAGGAACATGGCCATGCTCAATACGTTGAACATCTTCTTTGAGGATTTCATAGTGAGTTTTGACATCTTCAACTGATTTTCCAACCACATTGGCAACATTGTGCCATCTGTCAGGAGTTTCTCTATCATATAAAGCTAATGCTTGTTCAAACAGTTTGTTCTGCCTAGCTGTCCATGATGATGTCATTTGTTATTGAATGAATGAACAAGTGAAAGAAATATGAAAATAAGAATAAAATTATTAGAAATGGAATGGTTTTTTTGAAGTCAAGGGAAGGTATATGGGAAAGAGAGGAGTAATTGAGTTCCTTATATGCAGGAAAAAAAGTGCATGTGATGTTGATGAAGGAATAATATATCTTCTAAAACTGAAAGTAGTAAGGGTGACTTGTTACCTTATGAACCACAAGTGACAGCTAGCTATCTAGTTGAAGAAGTGGAGGAGATTCTAGATCAAAAGACATGAATGAATGCCTTTTTAGATTCTTCTAAATCATTTTTTTTCATACAAAAACTAAGGGTGAGATGAGCTCCGAATGCTCTCTAAAATCATGACAGGTCTTAAGACTCATCAAACGTTTATAAAGATACTTTCATCAAAGAGATGGTGGCAATCGCAATAGGAATTAAACTCATAATCCCTTATATATGAATTAACTTTCTACTAATTGAGTCAATCTTTGTTGTCTTCTTCTAAATCATCTTTATTTATATATATATATATATATATATATATATATATATATATATATATATATATATATATATATATATATATATATATATATATATATATATATATATAGGGTTAAATCTTCTAAATGATAGATGTACAGTTATTAATGTACATTCATTTTTACACTCTATCATGGGTGATGTTGATGGATGCGAACCTCCGGCAGTCTTACACAGTGGTATGTAGAGTGTTGTAATATGTTTTAAAACATTTGTTGATAAATAGAAATAAAATATATTTTTGGAGATTGCACATACTGCGAAAATCAGAAGTTTCAGAAAGTCGATCAAAAAGTATAAAAAAAACAAAAATCGGGAAAAGCGCACGGTCGTACGGACGGTGAATAGTGATCGTATGGATGATGAATAGTGACCATACGAATGATGAATAGTGATTTCGAGTTTTTCAGACTTTTTTCGATAATTTCTCGTTTTGTGTATTTCGGGCTCTTTCTGTCTCGTCCATGGATCCATGTGTGATTGGATTGTGATTTTAGATATTTGCTATTATAAATATATATCGCTTATATGTTTGCAGGTGTGACAATCTTATAGCTTACAACAACAAGGGAGAGCAAGAGTTTAAAGGCATAACATATGATTTTGACTATTCTCAAGAGAAACTTTAGAAAGGTAAGTGTTTTGGAAACCTTTTGAGTTATCTATGAGAATTAGGACACGCTTGTGTACATCTTGGGTCTTGATTATTCATATATTGAAGGTTGAAGAGGTTGAAAAATACTCGGGTAGAAAATAAGGAAGCCTTCAGGGTTGTTCTTGGGAACCTGAAGGCAAAGTCAATTTTCTTAAAACTTTTGTTTTTTCTCGCCTTATTTTGTTATATTATATGTGTGCAGATTATTATTGCTGTAGACCATTTATTTTGGTTGCTACTACTCTTTGCTTCACAAATTGATATTAAATTTTGTCCTAATTCACAACAAGATTCATAAGAAGTGGTGCGGTGAGAGTGGAGCAAATAAATATTGTTTACTAGTGAGCACCATGGTTAGAAGATGGCTGATCGAGAAATTTTCCGGTAACATCGACTCTAGGTTGTGGAAAATTAAGACGCAAGAAATTTTAATTCAAGAGAAGTGTATTGATGCTTTGAAGAGTGAAGTATTGATGCCTGCATGGCTTACATAGGTAGAAAAGACGAGATGTTGGATAAGGCTAGGAGTTTCATTATCTTGTTACTCGGGGATAAAGTTCTAAGAGAAGTCATCAGGGGGAAAACTGCAGTTGCTATGTGGGCAAAACTTAAATCATTGTATATGACAAAGTCTTTGGCTCACAAGTTGTATCTGAAAAAACAATTCTATTTATTCCAAATGGGGGAGAACAAATTCATAGTCAAGTAATTTACATAATTTCACAAAATTATTGATGATCTTGAGAATTTTGAAATGAAGATTGAAGATGAGGACAAGGCTTTGATCTTGTTGAGTTCATTATCAAGATTGTTTGAGCACTTTAAGAATGCCCTTCTTTTTATGATAAAGAAGGTACTATTACTTTGGATGAAAGTCTAGACAACAGTGAAATCCAAAGAATTTTCGAAGTCACAATATTTAAAGATTGACGATAGTTGTGAAGGCTTAAATGTGTCAAGATGAGGAGGTGAGCGTAAAAGGATGTCCAAATCAAAGAGGTCTGGCAAGTCAAAGGTAAAATGTTTTAATTGTCAAAAAATTAGTCACTTTAAAAGGGATTATCTTGAGAGAAAGGTCAATGAAGATTCTATTCAAGCTGTAGTTTCCTTAGTTGAGGAAATTTATGAGGATGCCGATGTACTGGTAGTATCGAGTTTGGAAACTGAAGATAATTGGGTCAATAACTCAGGTTTCTCTTATCACATGTGTCTAAGAATATAATACTTTAAAACTTTGAAGATTGTGCAAGGTGGAGTAGTTCGCCTTAGTGACAATAAGGCATGCAAGGTTCATGGTATTCGTACGGTCAGTCTTAAAATGTTTGATGATCGTGAACTTCTTATTCTCAATGTGAGGTATGTTCCAAAGCTCAAGCAAAATTTGTTATCTATAAGTATGTTTGATGATCTAGGCTATTGTACTAGAGTTGAACATGGAGTGTTAAAGATTTTGTGTGATGAATTGATTATTGCTAAATAGTCTAAAATATGTGGTATATATTTTAGAAGGTTCAAATGTTGTTATTCATTCATCGTTAACTAGTGGAGGCTTTCATGACAAGGAAGAGCTATGGTATTTGAGTTTAAGGTGTTATAAATGCCTTGAGAAAGTTTTAAAGGAGTATAATGAATATTGCAGAAATCAAGGGATAAAAATTCATGTTACCGTTGAGTTGTTATTTGGGTTTTGGGAAAGATTTGAGGTTAAAGTAACTTACTTGGTTGGTAGAGAATTTCTTCAGAGAGAATAGTGAAAACCAAGGGACAAAACCTAGAAGAAACTATAAGGGAGAAAATTCAATTTGAGGTGGAGTTTCCTACTATAGATACTAGTAGTAGTGAGGAGGGTTATTGTAGCATCTTAAAGGGACGGTTATGTTACCCTTGGATATTATGTATTTAATGCAGTTGAAGGACTGGAAAATAAAAGAAGAAGAACCTTCAAGGAGACATTTGAAAACAGATGGAGTCAAGGGTGGTTGAAAAATCATAAATGTATGCTTGTTAAATTACCTAGGAAGAAAAGGGTAATTTGAAACAAGTGGATTAAAATGGAGAGATCAAGATTCAAGGGTTGTTTGAATTTAACCATGGTTATTGATTAGAGTTTCAATATGGTAGAGAGCAGCAATGTTGTTCATGGTTAAATTGGTATCAACACGATTTAAAGTCAAGGTAGAGATTGTTTTAATATGCCTTAAAACCTTTGATGATAAAAAGAAATTAAATATGTTTTTGGAGATTGCATACCGTGGTGTTTCATAAAGTCTCTAAAAAAGTCGAAAAAATAAGAAATCGGGAAAAATTGCATGGTCGTACGGATGACGAATAGTGGCCGTACGGGATGGTGAATAGTGAGCGCACGAATGATGAATAGTGATCGAACTGGGTAAACAAAACCTTTGTTTTTTCTCGTCTTATTTTATTATATTATCTGTGTACGAATTATTATTGTTGTAGACCATTTATTTTTGTTGCTACTATTCTTTACTTCATAAATTGATATCAATTTTGTCGTAATTCATAATAAGATTCACAACACAGGGGGAATGCGGGCTGTCTCTTGAGAGAAGCCACAAAACGTATAAATCATACTCTAAACATAATGGATTATTCTAAAAGGTCATTGTTAAAAGAGTTTCATTTTTCTTGAAAACTTATTCAAAATATAAATACACATCCGCACACACAAAGGATAACAATTTTAACTTGGTATAGTGAAGATAATGATGTATGTTTCTTCCTATATTTACAATAATTGTTTTTCTTTTTTTCTTGCAATCATTAATTTATTCAAAAAATGGGATTGAATGAATAATTCAAACATTTCAAGACACTTAGACCAATAAATATGTCAACTAAGAATTCAGTAGGATCTAAATCGAGTCCTAGATTGCTCTGTCAAGTTCATTTATTGGGAGTAAAACTTTTTACCATCAACATATTGACACACCCGGTAGAATATGTGGGACATACGACTCCATACATAAAATGAGGGTGAATTGTGGAGGTTTGAAAAACGATGATTTAAAACAAAATTATTTGAGGAATTAGAATTTAAATCCATTTTATAAAACAGTTTAAAATATGGATGGAAATTCAAAGTAAAGAAAAATAATTGAAAAATAAAAGAGATAAGGGGAGAAATAACACCATAGAATTATACAGGTTTGAGAAAGAAGACCTAATCATGTCCTCAAGAATTGTTCTTGAGAGTATCCACTAGACTTGAATGCTTTTAGAGGGTTATGCTCTCGAATCCCCTTATATAAGTAAATAAAATTCCAAGTTAACTTCTAATAAAACATCGAACAAGGCTTAGAGCAGTTAATCTCCAAACGAAACATATACTTGCACAGTCTGGTCTCGAACCAAGTCTAATTTTTGAGTTGTCTATCCTCTAAACCAAATCGGGTTTAACATAGGCTAACCACAAATGGAATCTATATTTTTACCGAGCTGATCTCGAACCTCCTTAACTTTTATATTAGGTTGAACACATAAACCAATATTTATTTTAACTAGTATGATCTCAAATAGATAGAGCTTCTAACCGGTCTGAACTCAAGAACCGTTGTGGAGATTTTCACTGGACAATCTTCACGAATTAAAATAGAGTTTTTTCTTTAATGAAGAAACTCACAAAAAGGAGAGAGATCCCCTATGACAATCATTCAACACAAACAAGAGCTTTTAAATGGTTTAGCTTACAACCAAAAATATCTACTTCCTATGGAAAAGTTATTTACTCTTGACAAAATTCGCTCTTGGTAAATTTAAAATTTTTCCTCACCCAT